AATACCAAACAAAAGCAGAAATAACTTATCTGAGAAATCTGCCCTAAGTCCTTTGTGGAAGCTTTCCTCATCAGTGACCTCTCTTCAGCAGGGAAAGCACCCTTAAAATCAACTGACCCCTTTCTCCAATTGAAATACAAAATTATTCCAACTCTACTTTAGACTTGGACCAAAATTTCACACCCTGTCTTGAACCAATAACGAAACACTCTCTAAAAAGTTTTCATGAAAGTGGCTTATTTCCTCACTTTTGTGCCTGACCAGTCGTTCAAAACTTTGGCCAAAATTATTCATGATACACATATTGAGTTGGGAGGATTTGGTATTGGATCAACTAATCTCGTAATTGACATTTTTCTTCATTCTCATCAGTTGTCTCCTTGATATTGTATTAATATTATAAGGAGAAATTCTGTCTTGGTCACTCATGGGAGTTTAAAAGATCAACATAATTATAATATGTGTGCACATGCATATTTTGGAAGTTGAGTAAGGGAGTTCTCATTCCACTTTTATTTCATTGTCTAGTGTTTTTACCCAAGGAGTGAAGAGCAACTCATTTCTCTTTATAGTGTCATTCATGAATCACACATTAAGGTGACCTAAGAATATAAAGGAAATGATCACCACCTTAAAAAAACTTTTGATTGTTACACAAAGTCTCCTTGTCAGCATCTTAGGAAACATAGAGAGAACAGTATGGAGAATATATACATACTGTACTGATGTTAGGGTGTGCAGATTAAGCTGCATTGAAAAAGCCCTGCTTTGCCTCCCTCTCACTTTGATCAGCTGTAAAAAATAAAGCATCATTTGTTTCTAGCAAATGGGATTTGACCTCCTCGTTCATGGTCCATGATTATTATTCATGAAAACTTTGAAGAGAGCAGGTTCCAGTTTAGTTCGAAAACAAAGAGAATCAAAGTGTAAATAACATGCATTGAAGGGTGAGATCACTGAATATCTTGATGTGCTCATGAGTTCTACAATGAACCAACCATCTGGTTATAATACCCAAAATGGTTACAGGTCAAAAGTCAGCATGCAGACAAAAAACAGAATGGGGCAGAAACAAAACATATTATAAATCAGCAATTAACAATTATTAGACCTTACTGCTGGGTGAGTTCAAGAGACTGATGCCAAAAACTATTTTTTTTTTTAACAAAAAATTGATACAGATTCTATTAAACAATTTTTAACGTCTAGTTAGTATTTTTATTTCTCAATTTTAAACCTTAGTTTGTAGTCTTAGTCCTTAATGTCATCTTTTATCATAGTTTTAATTTTTTTATTTTTAGGGGACCCTCCTGAAAATCACCTTCAGATTATTTGAATCCTCTGCATAAATTATTATAATCGTCGTCGTTGTTATTATTATTAACAGATCAGAAGAAAAAAAAGGAATGGAAAACTATACTTGAAGTAAACTAAGGCATAATATGATTTGGCTATGAACAAATGGTAATAGAATTTCGTACTTTCATTCAAATACTGCTTGGCACCGTGATTTCCTTAAGTATTGAACCTTAGCAATCAACATGTAAGTCCATGATTCTGGAACGTTCCACCTGATAAAGGTCTTTTTTCCTTTCCCTAATTGTTAACTGGTTATTGGACTATGTGTTACTGGGATACTTACTCTACAGACGAACATCTACATCTAAGTTTTCCTCACATTATCACCCATGGATCGCATGTTAGGGTCACAAGAAAAATATATAATGATCTACAACTATAGAAGGTCTTGATTGTTTAACAAATTCTCCTCAGCACCTTACAAAATAGACATATGGACACTGATGTAAGGTTTCAGAGACTTACGACAATTTATGGCTTATTACGTGACGCATTTACGTACTTTGAAGACCTCTGAGGTCAATTTTCAAAATGGCGGGTCAGCCGGGACCGTGTGTTTTTTTTCTTCGTGCGAGGCAGAGAAGCCTTATGACTAAAGTAACGTCAGATCAAGGGACGAAAATAAACAAGAAGAGCAAGACAATGGAAAACAGGAAGGAAATGCATGTATGGATCATTTGATTCATACGGGAAATCTACCACGACAAGGCTAGGAATGGTCTCCTTCGATGATTAAAGACTCAAAGATGTCCGTAAGGGCTACTTTTATGATTTCCATGGTGAGAACCATGTGTATTTGAC